AAAGCGGAACTGCTGGAGGACCGGATGGAGCGACTGGAGTCTGGGCTCGGGGAGATGTTGGCACGGACCGTTCCCTTTCCTCGTGGCGCCCAGGGCGGTGGTCTTCCATGTTGTGACCCGCCGTGCACACAGCAACTGGAGGACATCCAACAGACGATGAGCACACATCTGACTGCCATCACGTCACGACTCGACGTACTCACCTCAAACATCCACCAACTGACGGCAGTCACTGAGAAAAACAAAACAAAAACGGAGGAACTGGCGAACAGCTTACTCGACACAAAAACAACAAACAAACAGGTAGCGACTGAGGTTTCCCGATCTGTAAACATTGTGGCATATATTCACAACAAAATCACAGACAACATTAACAAATTGAGCACTACAACATCCTCCAAGTTAACAGAGCTGAGCAGCAAGACAAACAGACAAACAGACACACTAGTAGACATACAAGACAATTCACTAAGTAAAGACGAACTGACAGAAAAACTCAACAAATTATCGGAAAGTGCCGACCAACAGCTATCTCTATTAGGTTCAATCAACAACACATTTGTGGGAGGGGCGGGGGTAGGGGGTAGAGATTCTGGGTCAGGTGGGTCAGTGTCGGGTCAAGGGGCGACGGGGGGTCAGGTGGTGGGTGTACCGGGGCTGTGTGGGCCGGCCGGTAATTCCCACACACACGTGTTGTGTGTGGAGGACTACAGCCAGTGGGTGGGGAGTGGGAAAATCCGGTGCAGTGATGTGTGGCGCGTAGGTGTCGGCCGGCCAGAAGTGAGGGGTGTAGTGGAGTTTGGGGAAGACATGACAATGGTAGTGTGTCTGAACGACCGTCAGTGTGGGTGCTCTGTGGGCTCAGGGGATGGGGGGGAGACATGTGTCCGGGTGACGGTGACGGCCGTGAGTCAGGAGGGGACAGGACGGGACTGGGAGCTGGGGAGTGAGGAGGGGGAGATCAATGGATGGTCTGGTGAGTGGGAGGGGTGGTGGGAGGTTACAGACTTGATCTTCTATGATGAGCTGGAGAGACGGGGGTTGGTGAGGGGAGATCGGCTCACTCTACGTTTTGACTTCTGTGTACTGTAGAGACACGGGCAGTGGGGCACTAGACGAGACACACAGGTGGACGGACACACAGACAAACACACAAATAGACAAACACACAGAGAGACAGATGGGACAAACTAACGGGCAGACTGACAAACTGAATGAGAGACGAACAGACAGACAGATTAGACAAATAGACAATCAGATAGAGTAGCGGACGGACTGACAAATAGACAAACAGATAGAGTAGCGGATGGACTGACAAATAGACAAACAGACAGACAAACAAACAAACACACAAACAAACTTTGATAGACAAGCTGCTTAACAGACAGGCA